ACCGACTCATCAGGAGGCTGAACCCTCAACAGTCTGCAGAATCCCCTCACTGATTACACTGTAAATGATAATCTACCTCAACCAAAATCAAAGTAGACTATCACTCACCCACACCAGATGGAAAACTCTACAGACTGTCGGTTCATATATATATATATATATATATCGTCAAATAGAACTGCCCGGTAAACCGTAGGCAGAGATATATATATATATAAAAGGGCCTTTACGAGTCAGACCCCGAATGGATACCCCAACAGCAAAGGGCTCTGTCGGCCAGAGTTTAAATTCACGAGCAGCAACTCAAAAGACGAAGTTCTTGAGGTAAAAGTCACATCCATAATGAAATGGAAAGTCATTTTGAAAGGTTACAACAGGTCCTGCACGAACAGGTATTGGACACAGTTTTTGAGACTGAGAAAGGGTCATGTCTCCTCGATGAAAAATTATGTCTGTTCCTCAATAAGTCAAAGACTACAGTCCCAGTCCAGTCATAATTCAACGAGTCAGTCCTGATTCACACCGGGAGTCCAAAAGACAGGCCCGATGGCCCAAAGCAGCAGCAGACCATGCGAAAAGATACTGGGACACACACTTTGCAACAATCGGTACTGGGCAGGAGTCCCAGGCACACTTGAGGCTGAATGCAGGCCACGCCAGACCAGTCTAGCACTATAAAGGACTGGCCAGCCTCCCATTCGGACAGATGCTCACTTCGCATGGGAGTGCGGAAGTGCCGTGGAACTTGTGCGCTAGGTGTGTGTGAGCTGCGCTAGGCTGAAGAGCAGAGCTGTGCGAGAAGGAAGAGAGTGCTGGCTAGAGGGAAGGCAGCCATAGCTGCGCCAGCAGAAGGTAGTAATAATAGAAGAGTTGGTAGTAGTACTAGGTGTACCAGTGAGTAGTATTCAGAGTAGATCCTCGTGTGATAGGGAGTGTGCATGCATGATGACTGAGAGTTGACCAGTACTATAGACCAGGAGGGTGAGAGAGAAGAAAGCAGACGAGAGAGCGGGAGGTGTGAGACATGGTGATACCTACCTATTGGGCGCTGTTGTTGATGTTCGGCAGCTGGTGCTGATGAGCACCAGGCCTGAGAACTCATGTTGATTGGAGAAGACTTGTGACTATGTTTGGCGCTGTACATTTGGACTCATGATGTGCCCTCCTTACTCTGGATTTGTTAATTAATTGAGTGGAATTTCCTGGTTCTCATTCATCTTCTATTGGGCTTTGTGTGAGACATCGCAACTTGGGAAATCTGTGTGAATGCATGTGATGTGAAGCACTCCAGCAAGTGTTGGTTCCTTGCATATTTATATTTATATTTATATATTTATATCGTCAAACAAGCTGCAGGTAAACCGTAGGCAGAGAGGGATATATATATATGTTTGAATATATATATGCCTCTAGTGCCAGCGGCGTGTCTGGAGTGTATGTTTTGGCTGTGACAGACCTTTCTTTGTTTCGTGGATGTTTTGCTGGCTTGTGATGGGGTGTGAACCGACAGTCTGTAGAGTTTTCCATCTGGTGTGGGTGAGTGATAGTCTACTTTGATTTTGGTTAAGGTAGATTTATCATTTACAGTGTAATCAGTGAGGGGATTCTGCAGACTGTTGAGGGTTCAGCCTCCTGATGAGTCGGTGAAACTCCGACGAAACAGTTCATCACAGCCCCTCGTTTGTTGTCGTCTTCTCTCTCTCTGCCTACGGTTTACCAGGCAGTTCTGTTTGTGACGATATATACTACGACTTCGCTAGCTTCCTGCTATGGTTTTTTCCAGTCAGGTCGAGTGGCAGTGGTCGGGGCCGTTACTAGGCGGGCATGCTGTGCCTCTACTGCCAGCGGCGTGTCTGGAGTGTATTTTTTGGCTGTGACAGACCTTTCTTTGTTTCGTGGATGTTTTGCTGGCTTGTGATGGGGTGTGAACCGACAGTCTGTAGAGTTTTCCATCT